AATAAGCAGTTGAGAGGCGAATGAACTGCTGCGTCTGAAGCATGCAACATGCATTTGCAAAGCCAGAAAGTATGCAACACAGTTGCTCTGGCAATGCTGCGACTGCCACATCGAAGTCAGAAGAAGAGATACCAGCGCCAGCGTGTCGGTCAGTTAGTCAATGTCAAAATTTAATTTGGATTTTGTATGCAAATGGCCTTAAATGTTGCATAACAAGCGAAAAGCCCAGCACACACAGCCAGCAAATTGTTACATATGTGAGTGTCTATGTGTGTGTGTGTGTGTGTGTGTGCCTGGCTTACTGCTTGGGTGACATATGAAATTGCAAGCTACGATTGTCATTTGCAGACACAGACACTAACGCAGAACTTTGGCGCCGCATCCTGGAGCTTTTCCCTTTAAGCCCTTAAGGTGTTGCTCCGCACACAGGACCTTTCTCTGCCTCCAAAAGTCTGTCTGTGTCTATGTTAAATGCATTTGTCGAGCTGCTAACGACTTAACATTTATGATTAGTGCACTGTCTAATTGGTAGGCTCAAGCTGAGGCTTTAACTGCACTAATTGGCAATGTGTAACAGGGCTTAGTGACTGATTCAATCGGATCTTATGTTATCAACGATTTTCTCCTACTTCTTCATATACATATGTATTAGCAAAAGTTTAAAAGTTTTTCGATATAATAAAAATACATGTATCTACATATTTTTAATTTTGTTTGCAAAGCTCAGTTTATTATCGTTTTGCTGTCATCAATTTATCTTAAATTGTTTTCGATACAATTTGAAAAAAATAAGTTGAATATTTTAATTATAGTACTAAAAAACGAAATCTTTGTATTAAAAAAAAAAGAAGTGAGAGCTGTGTATAGAAACAGTTTTCGCCCATTTAACTCGGTAAATAGAAAATATTAAATGATTTATTTCAATCAGCTTAGCTATTTTAAGCCCATTAAATAAACTCAAATCAACAACAGCTGCTTATTAACTTAAAGTTAATTGTTGGAATATTGCAAATTGATATTTACATAAATTAGCATTTGTTGTTTATATCAATCATTTAAATTAATTAAATAACATTAAGCGTTAAGCAACACTTTTTTAAATGTATGCGTTGATGAATTCCAATGCATTTGCATATTGCAATTTAGTTTAGAATTGATGTCAATACAAAGTTTTAATCTTTAAGTAAATTCAAAATCAGTCGAATTTTGAATTTGTTGAAAATATATGTATATCTGCAGCTAATTCTCATCTCCTGCCCCCGAAAATATGCAATCACTTTTGGTCAGTTCGGGCTCAACTGTTGCGTTGGTGTGCGAAAACACTTATGCATTCATCTGTTTATAAAGTTAGCAGCCAGTCTGAGTATGCAAATCCGCAGAAGCAGCAGCGAGAACTGCTAGAGATTAATAGAAAACTTTTGCATTATTTTTTACACAGTCAAAATGAATTCTAACTTTGCCTTTAAGAGATTTTGATTTTTTGGGAAACAAACTTTAAGAAAACTTTGGACTCCTTAGCATACGCAATGAGGCAGGGCATGCACGTAAGCATATTGGGGCCTGCAGGTAAAAGGCCGCAACTGTTTATTTATTTATTTATCTTGCGGCCAACACTAAAATGTAACTAAAAACACAAAATTTGACGCCTGCCTGCTTGCCTGATGTCTACACATGCATGGAGGCCAGGCCAAATGAGAGGGTGGGAAGATTTTAGGAGGTAAATTCTGATTCGGAGTCCTTCGTCGAGTTGACGTTTACGCTCCTTTGATATATTATGCACGCTTGAGGGCGGCAACAAATAATCAAGTATCAAATTCCACACGGAATGCTAACGAAAACACACAAAACGATTTTTTGTGCCCAGGTCACAGGGGAGCATTAGATCGGGTCAGGAATGGGATTTGTTAAGGCTTGTATATATTTGTGTGCGTGTGGTGTGTGTGTGTGTATGTGTCTTCCTTGGCCTAAGCTGCCAGCCAAATGAGGCAAGACACAGGCCGCAAAATCTTCACAAATTTGGAGGGCTGCAAAAACAAAGCCAACTCATCAGAGTTTGTCTCCAGCTCAGGTGGAGTCTGGTCCTGTAATGATGTGGTCTGAGTTTATGGCGCGTGCGGCAAATGAACAAAATGCCAAGAGTACAGACAATCAGCCTAGGCCACATGGCAACATCTTCCAACCAGCTCAACTTGCTTGTCTGAGCTGCTAGCTTTGTCAAGTAAATCGTCACGCAGAGCGTAAGGCAGGCAAAAATGCCTAAGCCGATTAACAAAGCATAATAGTTGCCAGTTGGCAACTGGCAACTGGCAACAGCTTTGCTCTCACAGCCAAACCGACAATAAACTCTGTATAGTGCTGGAACGAAGTTCGTGCATAGGGCAATCGAACCGGGGGAATGGTCAGCACCAGACTCAACAAAGTTGTTTGATTTTTCTTGTTGACTTTATGTGAATCCAGCTTGACACACACCCACACATACTCTGAGCTATGTCCGCTTGTTAGTTCAGTTGGGTATTAGAAGTTTGTTATTAAGTTTGCAGTGTGCAACTGATAAACATTTTCCAGCTGAGCTTGGCCACACAAATTTCTACAAAATAAGTTAAACATTTTAGACAATTTTATGGAAGCTGCGATCATAAAATTCCTGACCAAAAATATTTACCAATTACATAGTTATCAGCAAACATTTTATAATGTTTCTTACCAATGTATTTAAGATAAGAAAATTTTCAGCATATAAGATTAAAAAATTTGTTACATTTTGAACAGTTGTTTTTCAAGTTCCATGCTTGTTATTTGCAATAAAGAAACTAAATCTTAATAAATTATTAATATATTATTATATAATGGGTGTTCATATTTTTGACTAAAATATTTGGTTTAAGCCCATATGATAGACAATTCACACAAATATTCCAAATTAAGATGTCAAAAAAGCCTTTTAATAAGTATATTCCGAGCAAGAGTATTTCAACTTCGATAAATTTGTTGTGTCTCTTTAATTGTCAGTGCTGTTTGTTGTTGTCATTTGGCTTTTGTGTGATAGCATTTGGACATTCGGCTGCTGGAATTTGCGTAGAAAATCTCATAAGTCAAACATGAATTCCCATGCAAAAATGTTTTGTCATTTCGTTTGGCCGTTGTCGCTGCCGCTGCTTTTGTCTCTGCATGGGTTGGGGCTTTATTTTCCTGGTATTTGTATTATTTCTTTTTTGGCTGTGATTTATTAGGGCCTACTTTCATTTCTTGTGCGCCGTTCTGCTTCTTTTTTTTTCGGTTGCGGTTCGCTAAGCTTTATTTGTTCATTAGTGAGTCTGTTTAAGGCGCGGCAGCTACTTTCCAAAATTGTGTTGAAAATATTATTGCATATGCCAAGGAACTGAAAGGATATTAAATTGTTGGCTGTTTAAATACCAGCTGAAGAATTATTTATAGACAGCGCGCTGAACTCTTTAAGCGTCTGGCAATCAGTCAACACGAGTGGCTATAAGAAATGGACTCATCTCGACTGTCAGGCTTAATGAGCGCAAATAAATTCAAGTAGGCTTAAATTTTCCAACTTTTTTGCCTTGCCAATTGGGCACTTTTCCCACGCCTCGAACAGTTCTTGGCCACACAGCCACAGAAATTCATATACAAAAATAATACAAGAGACAAACAGTGCAAAAAGCGCTATGAATAACAAAAACACGAAGAGAGAAAAGCCAGAGTAGAGGAGAAATAAGAGATAGAATGAGACAAGCAAAAAAGATGTATAAGAACCGCAAATCTGAAACTAAGGAAAATGAATTCTATTTAACATTTGGGTAAAATTTCAATTTTTATTTTTTTATTTTGCACTCGCCAACCCTGCTGCAATGATATATAGAAATGAACGATAGTCTGCGGAGGGCGTGGACGAATGGGGGCTGCCTTTTTGTGACGTACGCGCCGTCTACTTAGGAAAATGATAAATGTCCTTGTAAAGCCATGAAATGAACAAGTATGAGGAGTGCCAGAACTCTGGCCGTGCTCCTTGGTATTTGGGCCAGCCAAGGCAAACAAGGACAATGTCCTCGGCAAACAGCAAGAAATCACAACATGCGGCAGCCGGCGTCAACTACGTTTCAAGTGGAATGGCCTGGCCAGAAGGCTGCCAGCTATCAGCTTGGGCCCTAAGTAGGCTACTCCTAGCACCAAGAGCCAAAAGCACATGCAGACAGTTGGCCTTATGTGTGTGTGTGTGTGTGCATGTGTGTATGTGCGCCTGTCGCAAGAAAAACGTTGACAAACTCCTCGCAGCGGCGACTTTTCCTTGCTGTTGTCATTCAACGCGCTGTCAGCTGATTTTTTCTGCTTTCTGCTTACAGGAAACTTGCCCCAAAAATGCCGCCCCAGAGGCAGCGACTTAAGCAGCGCAGGCATTTTTGCCATTCAAGTCGAATCAATGACGAAAGTTTTTGGCTAGCAGCGAAAACTACACGCACAGAGAGATAGACAAAATGAATGGAAGTAAGAGAGAAAGTGGGGGTAGATAGCGGACGGCAGTGGCCCTCCGGGACTGTCCATTGTTGCCCATCACTTTTGACCGGCTGAAAGTTGTTTTGGGGATCCTTTCCAGCAAGTCGCTTCGATTTCATGTCGAAGCTTTTGGCTTTTGCTTTTGATATCCTTCATTACTACGCTGATTCTTGCTTTGGGGTTTTACCCGCGCTTTCCCTTCGGCATCTTGGCTTTGGGGCGTGTGTGTGTTGTGGGCGTGGTAGCAGCTGCTGTTGTTGTTGCCGCTGTTGTTATTGTTGCGGCATCTATTATTTGGTCTGGTCAATTTTGTGTGCAAATTGTTTGGGTTTTGTCCGAACATCAATAATATTTTGATGTCCATGCCGCACCAAAATTGTTGCTAAATGTTTGAAAATTGTTTTCGGGTTTTTGTGGTCTTAAAATGGGCTTAACATGTGTGCTAAGCACGTTTATTTAACCCATTGATAAAAAAAAAGAAAAACAAACAGAAAACTTACCAGCCAAAAGATTTAGCAAGGCTGTGAAAATAAAATGAAAGGAAAATATATTAAATATAAATAAAAAATACATTAACTTAAAATATTAATGAAATAGTTTTAATAATAAAAAAATAAATAAAAGCATATTAAAATAAATACTTATAAAATCATTGCTTAACAAAGGTTTTGTTTTTAAAAGCAATTATCCATTTACAAAGATAATTAAGAACAACTGTAAGGAATTCATTTCACTTTAACATAAGTTACTTAATTTTTTAAATTCTCACAATCAAGCTCACATGAAAAGAATATTATGTAATCTCAGCAAAAGTTTAATTTCCAAAAACTATAAAATTAAACGTTTTTTCATCGTTTCCCGTGAAGTATCATTGAAAATTCTCTTTATTTGCATTCGAATTCTTAATAGTTTCTTTCTGTAATCCAATTCCTAAACTAGCCACGAATTCCTCACACATATGTATACATTTCTTTGAGCATAGACAAGTTTTATATGACTCTAAAATCTTGAAAATTTACCATTAAGTCCCAAAAACTTTTGCACAGCCGAGCCGCTTAGCAAGCAACTTGGCGCTTTGGACAAGTGCATCTTATAGTGCAATAGTATGATATCTATATCCAATGGATATGTATGGAGAGCAGCAGGCCAAGTTTACAGCGGTTGCAGCAGAAACTTAACTCATCAGAAATGCGTCTAAATAAGCATTTATAAAGCTGTGCTGCGGCAACAAATGGCAAACTTTTGGCTCAAACAGACAACAACAAATTGAGCGAACGCCCAGCAGAGAACCCAAATATAATTCGAAAGTTGTTTCCCAAAATGTTGAGTACGTTGTTTTCATAGAAATGCGATAAATACGACGTCGAGCAGGCAAAGGATGTGGTTTTGTATGAGGCGTAGCGGTTATTCGGCCGGCAGTTTACTTGGAAAACATTGAAATGCCGAAGTGAAAAGTTTGTGTGCCAGCGCCAACAACAACAAAATTCAATTGAAAACACATAAAGTCTAAATTTATTAAATCCCACATCCCCGGTCGCCCGCCCCTTTTCTCCCTTGCATCATGCGTATAAGCTTATGCCCCTGAAGTGTTTTCGACTATTTCCAACTTTAGCACTAAAACTAAAACATTGCCCAAGCTGCTGGAACAATATGCAGCCCAGCTGTAGGCGTTTCTCCTTCAATTGGACGATTTTAGGCTGCGGCTGTCGTTTGACTTCAGTCAAGTGGATGTGGCTGTGCTGCGGTGCAAGTGGTGGACGAGAGTGGTTTGCCCCGAAGTTATCTGGCCTCTAATTCAGTTGCCAGCCGCCCACGCGTCGTATGAGACAAATATATTCCCACATAACTCATACGTCATGTTGCCCGGTCAAGTGAACGAACACAGCTGAGGCATGTTAATGCAAAAACAAGCGACTCTTCTTATCCACATTCCCAACCTGCCTGCCTGTGTATTAATTTATTAAGTAAATCATACGCCCGGTAGCCCACGGTACGTGTACATACTTGAGTTGTATATTATTTGGTAGTGTTTAAATTTTGCTCTTTTAATAGACATATTATACTAACTACCTGATTAGTCCCACCACAATGCGCAATTAGCGGTGTTTTAAGGTGGCTTCGCTTAATTTTTCTTGCCATCCATAAACTTGGCGAACTTTGTTTATGCGGCTGCCCAATGGTGGTGCTTATTGTTCAATTTGCTTGCCAAGTTTTCGATGGCTGAAAAAAGTGAAGACTAACGCAAACTTTGCAAAGTTTCCTTGCAACACAAAAATATGGTGCGTCCTTCAGCTTTCCCTACTTCTCTCGCTCCTGCTTGGCTTATTTATTAGCAACATATTATTATTTGGCTTGCAAGTGGGCGAAAGTGATGGCCATCGAAAGTTTTGGTGGCTGACCAGCTGGCGAGTGATCTCGGCCCCTCCAAGCAATAACTCAGGCAAACAGAATAACAAGCCCTAAAAGCCATTGAATTGCTTTGCCAGCAGCTGCTGCTGACCATTAACAGCCGTGCAAAGTAAGTTTTCTTGCCTTTTGTTTTGCTTATTTTGCCAGTTTCTTTCTTTTTTATTTTTTATTCTTCGCTCGAATGGAAGGGGAGTATTAGACGATTACAAAGAGCTTGGCACATTTGGCTGCTGTAAGACGGGGAAGCTTTGCAGCCAACAAAATCAATTTCACATAATTTAAACTGTATTAAATTTACACACAAACTTTGCCAAGATAAACCAGAAATTTCATTTATTCAATAACGCAGCGACAGAAACGCTGCTTTGACAGCCACAAAGGCGTGCGCGTATTCACACACAATAAACTTTATGTTGATTGAATAAGAGTTGCACACACATACACACGCATTCACGCATATATAGGCTGGCTTAACGGCAGCCAAACTTTTCACTTGAAATTAAATTTCGCACACACAAACACAGAGACAAGGGCGCAAAGTGGAAAAAGTGGAGCAACATTTGCCGCCAGGCGCAATCAATTTTTTGGCAGCACACCGAAAAAACGAAGCTGCTGCCTGCAGTCGAAAGTATAGGACTTTGGTATACCCTGTTACAAAAATATAAAGTTATTTCAAAATATATGAATAAATCATTCGTTAATTTAACCATTCATATGCCGTGCAAATTCATCAATTGTATTACCTTAAATATAATTTCAAGCACACGTTGAGCTCCATGTTTCCAGACTCATTTATTATATATGTTAAATATGTGATATTTATCCACGTATGGAAATCGGATTTTATCGATTTAAAGGGACCCAACGTTGCAGGGACTTATAAACCATATTTACTGCCTCTGGCTTTTATTGTAAGCCTAATTATGTACACTTTATTGCTTCTGAAACGCGGTATTCTACCTTTGTGCAATATGCGCTACTTATAATACGATTTAAATTATTCCTGGTGATCTCATAACCATATGTTTATGTGAATTATAAATAGTTTATTAAGCCACGAAAACATGTACAAAATTATTTTCCAATAGTTATTACAATATAAAATAGCTCAATCCCGCCGTTTATATAAAAACAAAGATATTTAATAAGAGATTGTATGAACTATGTCCGCTGATCCAATCTGACTTTGGGAATAGTTAAAGTAATAATAAAGTAATAACTAATTTTGCTCGAACTCATTTTGAAAGAACATTGTTTAAATATGTTTGACATTTGTTTCACTATCTAAACACTTATACGTTCGTATTGAAAACGGGTGTCAACAATTTGTGGGCAATGTTAGGGTTAATATATATCTTTACGAAAATGTATGTGAGGCGCAAAATCCTTTTGTTTGAATAGAAATATAATTTCAGCTTTAATGGGTGGAACATTAATGCAACAAAACTTGGACCGAGCAAAGCCGCGAAATATATTACCTATTATATTAAATATATAATAAGTGATACATATTCTTATGTTGTTTGCGTGTTCAGTAATATGTAATTAAATATATAATACATTTATTATAATAAATAAGCTTATACTAAAAAACCAATAAATCTAAATAGAATCATTAAATGTCAGCTTCCGTAATAGGCGAAAACTAAAACAATTAGAGGATAATATAATTTAAAAACCTAACCTTTACCTGTAATAGCAAAATTTTATTCATTTCTCTTGATACCAAGCATTTAAACATTACGTCCCTTTTTCCAATGGAAGTAAAGGGTATTTTGTATAAGATTCAATAAAAGATTTTAAAAAGAGTTGCAAATTAGTCAACTTACCGTTCTCCTCCTCAATATTTCGTGTCATTGTCGTTGAAGAGCTGACGCGAGCACGTGTTGCTGCCGCTGCATGTCCGTTGAACGCCGGCAGGACGAGGCACAGCAGCAAGGACAATAGGCAGCTGACAGCCAGGCACATGGTTGCCTTGCGCTTTGATTGTGCTTGTGTGTGTATGTCCTAGGTGCTACAGTATGGCTATAGAGCAGCCTCGGTCTGAACTGCGACTGCCGTTGGTGCTGCTCGCCAATGCCAATGGCAAAACGTCGGGCAGTTTTCGTTGCCTACTTTCGGGCGCTACTGGAATTCACATTCGCACACCACAATCATTTGTTGCTGTTGTTGTTGTTAACTGGGCTTATTTGTGCATATATTGATTTGATTTAATTTGACATTTTTATTTACGTCCATTTACAAATTTTCGTGGAGGCTGCAAAAAAGAGGCAGTGAGGCCGAGGGTCAGCAAATTATTGACATGTCAATAAATAAAATATATAGTAGTGGTATATTTTTGGAAAATTGCCATTGCAATTTAGTGAATATGTTGTTGTCGTTGTTGAAATTTATTTAATTGCCTTTATTTTTGGTTCGGCAAAATTTGTAAGCAGATTTACTGCACTTTCCCAAACACATACACACGCACACGCACAAACAGACGCACACTGGTCACCGAATTTCACGAATTTGATTGGGTTAATTTGTTTGTTTTTATATTTATATCGTTTATGTGTTATTTATGTGGTTGAAATCGTTAATTTATGTTCTCCGTTATTGTGTTGCGAGCAAATTCACAAATTATGCAAAATTGTATGATTTTGTTTTAAAAAGGTTTTTATTTAGTTTTTATTTATTTGCATCATGGCGAAAAGTCACTCGAAATTAGAGCGTAATTTATTGATACACAAGTGAAACTGTAATTGATTCTGTGCCAACGAATAAACGGAAAATATTTTAACGATGGAAAATATTTGCTTCAATATTATAAATAGCGTAATTTGGATTGGTCCAGAGTACGGCTTATTTTTTGTTAATTAAATAAATGCTAAGCATTTTACTTTATTATTATTGATTGTTAAGCAAATAAAATGTGCTTCAGTATTTGTAAACCATTGAAAATTGTTTGCTTTTAAATATTATTTATATAAGCGTATCGACAATTTTGCTAAAATATGCGTGCTAAAATTTAGATCAAATTCCAGTCTGCAAATAAAATAAATTATTTAAACAAATATGCAAAATACAAAATGCTTTTGGAAATAAAATTTATCTAAGGAAGTCCGAATGCTCAGTAGGATTTTGGACTCTTGGAACTAAAAACTTATAACCCACTAACTAGCTCATTCTTATATTATGGTATATTTTATATTAAAGAGAAATGGCCTAAGCTTAACATAAAATTATCTTACAAAACCTATAATAAATAATTAACTTTTGCTGTCACTCAAGCGAATAAATACCTACAACAGTTTTCAAGGAACAAAGACCGCCGCAACAGGAACTTTCTTATGTGCAACTGAGCATATGCCAATATATTTGGCCTAGACAGCAACAAATCAAACCGCAAGCGCCTCATCAAGCAGCAACACGTAGAAAATGCCTACCGCACCTCAATATTTTACAACATATTGCACTCACAGTGAAGCGGTTTTAATTAAAGTATATTTATAACTTGGGTCCAGGTCGTAGGTGGCACGCGAGCAAGAGCGAGAGAGAAAGCTATGGGGGGAGAGCTATGTGGGGAATTGTGGGAAATCATTTAAAATGCCGCTTGCGTACATATTTGTTATAATTTATGGTGCCCATATAAATGACTAACAACACACGAGTTTCTTGGTAAAAGGAAGGAGGACTTACTGGGAACTGGAAACTGGCAACATGCTGAGGCGCAAAAGGACGAATCACGGAAAGTTGAGCAGGGCCAAAAGAATGGAAAAACATGTGCCCAAGTATGAACGCGTGTAGATCTTTAAAAGGAGCCCAAGGAAGCGCACAGAACGTGCCAGCATCAAAGTTCAATATGAGGAAGCTGCCGACGACGACACTGCAAAAGTAATGCCAAAGACCTAACGAGTGCAAATTTCTCTTTAGACTTGGCGTTTGTTTTTTGCGCTCGCAATGCTTTTACTTTTACGTAGCAAAAACTCAATAAACGATAAACAGGAAAACGGAAATCGGAAACTGTATACGTTCATGTTTCTAGTCTACACGGACACAAACACACACACAGACAGCGCCGCCATTTTGCGCGACATTCGAGGCAGTTCGACGTGCTTTTATGATATATTGACTTGCTGTGTTTTATCGGCCACGTCGCCATAGCTGGCAATGCTTTTACCCTCGGCGCACTAATTTTATTTTGCCGCTGTTGACAAACTCGCCCCATTTCCACTTGTATTTGTGTTCCTCTCACTTATTTTTTTTTTTTTTTGGTCTCAGCAGAGCAGATCATAAATAAAATTTTATTAAACTATGCGACTGTGAATGCGAATGTGACTCTGGCTGTGGCAACCGCAACTGTCAGCCAAGAGCTGAGAGTAGAGCGCATCGAAAAATGTTGGCGTTTAATACAATTTTTGCAACTGGCGCATAATAAATCTATATACGTTTATTTATCATACGCCCCGTTGCCAGATTGCGGCGCTTTCGTTCGGTGCGGCCTAAATGGATTTCCATTCCAATGGATTAAAATAAAAATAATATTAAAAATAGAAAACAACCAGTCGTTAAGCGATTAATGTAAATATTTTTGAAAAGCTATCATAAAAACATCTATGTAGGAAATATGCAGAGGCATTTTTATTCAAATTGATACCAAATATTGGCAGAAAGTGCCAAAACAGGCGACATTTATAAATCTGTTTTATTTTTTTTAAAGCGTTCGGCAATAAAATTTTAGAAAAACTTCTGATAAATAAAGGGAAACCATGTCAAACATTTGGTCACTGTTGGATGACAAGTTATATTCAATTTAGAAAATCATAAATCTTTGAACAACATATGAGGCGACAACTGCATATAAGAAATAAAATTTATAAAACAAATAGAGCTTGATGGTAGAAATTAGTGTTAAATGGAATATTATAATAAAGAATTACACCGGAAGCTTTGGCAAGGCAATTACTTCTTCGCAATGAAAAAAGAGCAGGCGCAAACTGCTAAATGAAATCCTGAAAACCCTGACAAGAATATTAAATGCAGACTATGGAGATGGCGTGGCATATAACAGAAAAATATTTAAAAGAACTCCACATAACAAATGCACCCCATTACGTAAAATACGCCGAGCTTTCAAAAATCTTAATATACACACTCGAGTCAATAAAGAACACTTGTATTTCAAATGCTTGATTTCCATTATTTTGACAAGCTCAAACACTATTAAATATTACATTAAATATTATATATATATATTTGACGGCCTAAGTAGTACAACCTATAAGGAATTTAATTGCCTTCTACGCCTTGGGATACTCTACAGTTCAATCACGCGTCTAGCGATGAAGATCTTACAGTTTTGGCTATCTATATCCATCGATAGAAAATTATTTTAATTTGCTATAAGAAAGTGTAGTCATAAATTAATGTAAAAAACTCATAAAAAATCAATGCCCGACTGATAATGTATCTTATAAATGCGAAGATAAAATATGATATTGCATCAGAAATCTGCTTGTTTAAAAACTAGTTGCCCCATACTGGCTTAAAGATACAGAAACAACTTTTTGCAACATTAGCTAATATGGGTTCGAGATGTTGTCCACATAACGTGGCGTATACGTAACCTGGCTGCGTAAAGTACGTTGTGCCAGTTTACTCGATCGACGTGCACTTCAATTTACAAACATGCCAAGCACTGTGTATGCAAGTTTGTGTACGTGTGAGTGTATGTGTGGATGTGTATTTTCCTGCTGCAGATGCTGAAAAGTGTGTCGACGTTTTTCCATTTCCGTCGTTGTTGTTCTTGTTGCAATCTAATGTAATGAAGTGTGTTTGCATTAAAATGCAATTTGAAGTGCAAAGTTACAATATTATTATGGCGTAGCTTACAGGTATGTGTATGCGAGTGCTGCATGTGTGTGCCACATATGTGTATATGTGTGTAAAGAGCCCTTTGGCTTAGCCCTGAGCTATGCTGCTCGTACCTGCCCCAAGTGCCAGGCGTCAGAGTCGGCGCCATTTTTTTTCATACTTTTTTTGCGGTTTATGTGCGCTAAGTGAGCCTATAAAAATCCATGCATGGCTGCCTCTGCCTCTGCTCTGGCTGTTTGCTATGTGTGTTCAAGTACATTTTTATGAATACTAAAATTCCCAAAGAGCAGTAGCAGTGGCTGTGGCAGCAATCAGAGCGTTCAACACTTGGCATCATCATCGTATGCAGCTGTTGTTGCTGCTAATTCTGTTGTGTACTTGGCGGAGGACGCGAAGGCAACGCACATTTGCATGCCAGGACATGTCAGTACATTGACTAACACTTTGCCGCCCCCAGTTTGGCATGTGACCTTGCCACACTCTAAGCACGATCTGGCAACATTGGCTGGTCATTTGATATGCTTAAGCCACAGACACATGCAAATTGCAATTGAATGCAATTGTCGTCTGCTGCCTGCTTTAGCTACGTATTCGGTTACAGCTTCGGTTTGGGTTTCGGTTTTCCACTGGCCGCAATATAAATTGCATGTTAAAATACATTTCAATACGCAATTTATTCACTTTGTTTGGGACATATTCAAATGCGCGCTCGGCCCATCCATAAAATGTGTCATGCACTGTGCTGCATTGTGGTCTCTTGTGGTCATCGGTTGCATACAATTGTTTGCTCTACTATAATTAATTGTGTCGAAAATGGTTTTAGTTGTATTTTAATAATTAATTATTGTTTCTGCCTGAGGCTAATTGGCAAGTGCAAGTGGAAATGCATTAAGCGCACGATTGCTTTTGCGACATAATTGTCACAAAGTGATTTTTATTTGGCACGTAATTTATAAAATAATTTAATGACAGTAAAATAATAATAGCCTGACTCAAAATTATAGTAAATTATTCGCTAGTTTTAAATAAAAATATTCACTTGTAATATAAGATAAGATATAAGACACATAAAAACATGTATTCAAATGACAAATTAACTAAGCATTCAACAAAAATATATATAGGTATATATATTATTATTTGATATACTTATAAGTAAATGCCGCAATTTTCTCTTTAAATTACTTTAATTAAACCATAAATTTTTGATGATAATATACTCACATGCAAAAGATATGTTTTATTTAATATGTGACAGCGTCTACCAAAAAGTAGATATTTAATTTTGTATGCTATCAAAATTATTATTATTATTTAACATATTTTGTTTACCTATTTAAGTTGATATTCATGTTATATCTTTAGAATTTTAAGTACTATTAACTTCAGAAAAAAAGTTATATTTATTTAATTAATTTAGTTTATGTAATTTTTTTCATTTCAGTTTTGTTGATATAATTATATTTATATTATTTGTTAATATAATTGTAAGAATTATGCATATTTAAAAAAATATACAATTAATGACAAGCAGTGGTCATGTACTTTTATTATTTTATTTATTTCCTCGGTTCTATATTAACCATTTTCAATCTAGACAATCTCCATTAACCATTTCCTCTAGTAGCACAATCTTAATCATTTTATCTCCCATTTATCTGCTGCGGCTGCCTTTTGTCGCATTCAAGTACCTTTAAATCGCTGTGTGTAATGAAATTACACGCACACTTCAACAATTTAGCAATTGAACAAATGTGCATCACTCAACACTTTCAGTGCTTGACATTTTTCTATTTGATTATAGTTCATATTTGTTATGCGGATTTCAATGCCAGCAATTTAGCACTTGAGCTGTGAAATTTGATAACACTCGAGAAGAAATGCCCTGAATAGCGCACAGCAATGCATGTTGCATAAGAAATACCCTATAAATACTGAACACATTCAATAGAATTCACAACAAAAACAAATTTTGCACAATTTGTATGGAAAGCAGCAACAAAGGCCTGCAAAAACTATTTCAACTAAAGCTTACAAAATAAAATCTTTTTGGAAAGAGCAGTACAGAAAATCGTCTTTCTGTGCCGGCTTACACACACACACACACACACACACACCCAAGCACACACACGCACATAGACATTCATGCTAACTGGGAGTAATCCAAACGACGCCGTTGCCGAGATTCGTTTTTCTGAAAGTGATTTTCTGCTCGCTGGCATTCGCTGTGTTTTCCATGAAAATGATTTTCATTGAGAACGAGGCGACAACGACAACAGAGCGTGGGAGGGCCGCACTCAGATCGTATTGGATCGGCTGGGAAAGTGCCCCACCGACAGACGTCGCACGAAAGTCGACAAACGTTGATTTGTAAATTTAACAACGACAAAAACAACAACAACAACGACAACGATAACGACAACTGTGACAATGACAACAAATTGGTTGTCGCTTACAACAAATCGACTGCTTACATTTTGCCAGCTAGTAAAGTGTAAAGTATAGGCGGCACACGCGACAATAAACGCACCAAAAGAAACGTTCAAAAATCGCGACACGTTTTAAATTTTGGATTTCGGCTCTTTTATGGGATTCTCTTTCAGAGTTTTTTTTATGTATTTTAATTTCAAGTGTAACTAACGCGTCGTATGCGCAATGTCGACAGCCACATTTTGTTGCGTTTCACATCTCAAAGAATTAATGAAACATTCGCCAACTCTTTACATATTTTTTACTAATATTATTTCGTGTGCCTAGCTGCACGCAGCGGAACGCACAACACGAAACTCGATACGGAAACGGGTTGCGCCACAGTAATCGAAAATCCCGTTAGTCTCGACCGTACCCGCGGGATCGCAAACTCTCACTGAAACGATTTTTAGGGTATACACAGAGCAGAACGACCGAGAAAAGTGCCCGCAGCCGAAACGACGACAGCATCCCGAGCAGCCCACCCGAATGCCGCAACTGAGCCGCCAATGAGCGAGGCGAGCGAGAGAGCGAAATTGCCGATGTGCCAGCCGAGCGCAGCAGCCCATTTGCTGTTTGCTGGATGCTGTTAAGATGCTGTTAACTGCCGCCCTGTTAACTCTGCAGCCGTAGGTAAATAATTTATAGCAAGCTTTGCAGCGCTCACACAAGACAACAAGTAGTCAAAATATTGCAAGTTATGGGCATCCCTTATTTGAATGTAATAATTTCCTTAAAAATAATGTTAAAAATTAAAAATACTCAAGTGAAAACATGTATATCAGATTTTATAGCAAGCTCTCAGCTTGTTTACATTTCTCTGAAGCCATCGGCATCGTGCGCTCTCTCCCTCTCACGCAGCGCTTGCTCTCTGCACGAGAGAATATAACGCAGATTGTTCTAAAAATCAGCTGGATTCTGTGCTAAAAATGTGAGTTAAATGTTACTGCGAGACAATGAATATATGTCTTTAATTAAGAGTTAACGTATTTACTTATAAAGTTTTCAGTTAAAAAAATATATAATACAATTTTTGAGCTAACATTTTCTATCAACTTACTAGGTGCGGCCTAGCGTTAAGGCACTTGCAAAATATTTTCCTGTTTAAGGGCTCACATTAACTTTGCACTCAATTTTAATGTATATACAACAATAATTTCCAATGTATTTAGAAATTTGATTTTTAATTTTAAGTTATTATCATCGACACCCACACATCAATCAAATGCACACCTGTTGCCCATTTTGCGCTGCCTGCCTGTCAATCAATGCAGGTGCGCTTGAAATAGCAGTGAAAATACAACAACAGACAATGTAAAGAGAGAAAAACAAAAATAAAGGCAAATAGTTGTTAAACAAAATGTTATGCAAATTAAATGGTAAACATATCTTTACTGTGCCTTTTATTTTACAATAACTATAAAAAACTAATTTAATATGTAATATATAAAAGTATTTACCCTAGCACAACAAATAATTAATTAAGCTAACAATTGTGTAAAAACTAACAGAGCGCTGTAATTTATCACTAACAGACAGACTCTCTGCGTTTAACAGAGCTCTGCTCTTTAGAAAGAGCGCGCCAGCTATGTTTATGCAAAACTGTGTCAAATTTGGCGAAACAATGTAAAGCTTTTTTATGGCTCACCATAGAGGTGTAAAGAAATGTTAAAAGCCAGCCGTTAAGTAGGCCACATAAGTCAGCTGTAAGCCAAATACCACCAGGGACTGACGGCAGCTAAGCAGCAGTAATTAGCCACATTATAAAAGTATTTTATATTTTTGCAACTTTAAGGCCAAAATAGTAAGCACATCTTTAAGTCGCTTTGCAGCTGGCAACAGCGACAAATGTTGGTCAGCTGTTTTTTATCAGCTCATAAACATGGCGTACAAGTTCATTTCGGCGTTAAAAGCGTGTTTTTGCCTGACCGCCATGTGTTGGTGTGCGCTTTCCTGCATGCGTGTGTGTGTGTGTTTGTTTGTCTGTGTACGTTTTACAGCTGCAGCACAAACACACGCACACAACTGCTGTCATTTTTAATAGCAAACACAACACCAGCGACTTTTGCGCATGAAATAACACCAACTAAATGTACGATATAGTACTAAGTAGCCCCGTCCAAGCCCACACACAGTGGGAGCAATAGGGGAAATGCTTGCCAAAGAAAGAAGAAAACCTGTTTAGATTTTAATAGACAAGCTAAAAAATATAGTTCAGCATGCCTTGTATTTCTTTTATTAAAAGTAAATATACGCGATTTGATTTCTATTATTTTGCCCTTGATATGCCTCGCTATAAATATAGGAATTTCCATAGTTGGGATAAACATACAGATATGTTTTTCAACGTTATCTAAGTTTGCATCCCATTCAAATAAAAGCCGAAAGCAGCTGTTTTGTAGCTAACATAGCAGATAAGCACAAAAACATGCTGTAGTGCATGAGAAATTCGTGAGTTTAATAAAAGTTGTCTCAATCGAATTCTATTTGTTCCACTGTACGCGTATCTTTGTTGTAGTAATGAAAGTGTTTTTGTGTAGTGTACCAGCCGCACACGCAACATGCGTGGTCTGCTCACAACCTGCGTCTCTTTCGGCTTCCGCCTGCAGCTGCTTCTGCCTCTTCCTTAACTGCTGATGCTGCTCTATGTGTATGAGTGTGTTGGCCAGCTAGTGAAATATGACAAAAAGCATGCTTCGGTTCATTTTTTTCTTACGATTTTTTGTTATTATTGTAGCTGCTGTTGCTGTTGTTGCTGTTTTTTGTCAGCGTTTCTAATAGCTAAAGTCAAAGGGTATAGGGGAACGGAACCAAGGCGCATTCCTCGACCAACGAACTAGCAGTGCTCGAAAGGAGTCGTTGTTATTGTTGTCGTGTGTGACTGGATGTGTGTCTATGTGTGTGCGTCTGTGTGTGTGCAATAGCAATAAAAATATATTTTACAAACTGCTGCCAACAGTTCGCGACCCTTGCAAAGCATGAAAACTGCTTAGGTTTTGCTTCTCGCCCCAACCGCCACCATATTGTAGTAGAAGTTGTTGTTGTTTTTGTAGTTGCTTGTTTGCTTTTTATGAAATATGTAGAGCAGCTAACAACCCAACACTCACGCACACATGCAAAACAAGTTCGCAACATCAAATTATTGGAAAACCCGAGAAGTTTTCTGGACTTTTTTTTTCAGTGCGCATGAAAAAATATTTAAAAATCTCAACAAAAAGGATAAAAATAAATAAAAACGAAGAAACACTGTGCAAAAGTTAGCAAGCCAACAACAATGTATTTTTTGTGAGGGGAGATTCGCTCAGATATTATACACATGTATGTGCGTGTATTTGTGTGTGCCTGAATGGGATGAATATGGATTGTATTATTGTTGTTGTCGTTGCTGGCACTAAAACGCGTTTTGCTTAACGCGCTCGGATCGCTTTGGTTGCTCGCTTTCCTTTTGTTTGTGTCAACCATAACGATTTTCTTTTCAATTTAGTTTTACTGCGTATTTTGTTCTAATTTTATTGCGTGTATTAAAATTTCCTTTTTGTTTTTTGTTGCTCTTGTGCTGGGTGGGCTGCATTCCGATACGCAATTGGCAGCTGGTAACTGGCGTTGAATTTGGGACTATATGGAGTGCTCTTAACACACAATTTCAAAGCCCATACACACACCCACACACGCATATGATAATATATATAATATTCTTTTTTGATATTTATAGCTCTGACGTTTTGCTTAGCAGGCAGACGATTTATATATCCTAGCCCCAGTCCAACGCTCGTTTGTCGATTTCCAGCCATACATATTTATGACTGGGCAACTCTTTGCCGCATTTTTCATAACATTGTTTTAGTTTTCATTTCATTTCATATTTTTTCCATTTCATTTATTATTTTTTTTTTTGGTTTTTTTTTGTGATTCTTTTGTTGCATTTTTATGTGTTTTTTGTGATGTTTGTGGCTGTTTACTGCCCCATAGATACACAGTTATTGAATGGCCTGTCATATTGTGGCAACTTTTTATATGCCCTAACACGTTTCGATGGGTTTTATTGGCGGGCTTTTTTGAATAAACTAATACACTGCACATTTTATTCGCTTGTCTATGACTAGAACGTGTAAAATACATATTTCAGGAAATAGGAGCACGGATTTGTTCAACTACATTTGCAATGCAATCTTTTTGTTTAGGCATAAAAGGCTTGAAATGAATTAATATAAATAAAATACTATAGTTTTAATCAGTAGCTCATGTAAAATCGATTGATTCAATAAAGAGAATATATATATATATTGTTTTTGGCATTGAATGCAGCTCAAAGGGAATAGCAAACACAGTTTGAAATGTAGCAAATGGCAGTTACAGGTGTCTGGCCATCCGGCCATGAAACCTACTAGCAGTTGGCCGAGTCGAGAGTTGGCAAAATGTTTGTCGGCCATTTTGACATCTCTTGAGACCTTGTAAGGAGAATGTAAGTCAAATGCATCATTATTAAAAGACTGAGTAAGAGAGAGCTACGGTTTGACTATAACTTCAGCTCGAAGGACTCACAAGCTTCCAACAGGATGTCGAATTTAATTCTAATTTACTTAGCACTGAAAATGCGCATATTTAGAGGCAACAGGCAGCAGATACATGCTGTGCGCTGTTCAATTTAACTTGTTTCCTTTTATTTTTATTTTTAAAATTAATTTCAAGTGCAATGCCGCCCGAAATCTTTAGTCGACAGCTCGGTAAACAAAAAGCACGTCAGCTGAGAGGGGGTCATAAGTATGCGGCGGCTGTGGCAGAGGATGGAAAACATTTGCGTGCATGTTGCCAGTTAATTATTGAGCAACGAGCACGTACAACAGCCAGAGTGTAAGTGTGTGTCTGTGTTGAGTGTGTGAGTGTCCGTGAAAGAGCGGGAGAGAGAGAGAGTGTGTGTGTGTGTGTGTGTGTATATGAGAGTCTGTTTGCATGTGTCTATGTTTAACTTAATTAGTGCTTCTATGTGCTGCATTTTGTGGTCCGCATTTAACACAGCGACCGCCAAAGCCGACAACAGACGCCACCGTCGCAGTTGGCGTCGACGTCGACGTCGGTTTGGGCCACAGAACTGTCCGTTCGTCCGTCTGCTGCTTCCAGTTAAATTTAAAATTGCAGCGCACAGCTTCCGGCAGCGCCAGGGACTGCCTCTGACTCTACGAACACTACACTGTTTATTTGTTCTAATGAACTAGGCAAGAGTAGGGTACATTCGCTAAGTGTTGAGTTTGGAACACCCATGTTTTAATTTATACATTTTTCAGGAAAAGCTGAGCAGACAGCTGACCGGCTTGGACAATTTCCGTAGGCAGACTCTGTAGTAGAACGGACCAATTTTAGCTCTATTCGAACTTTACCTTTATAATGTTTTTCAACTCTAATCTT